TGTGCTCGACGATGCTCATGTACTCCGTGAGCGTCGAGACGAAGCAGATCAAGGCGTCCGCGATGATCCTCTACGACTTTACGAGCCGCACGCCCACGCAACGCAGCTGCGCGGCGCGCGCCGCCGTCGTCGCCAAGATCTTCATGTGCTGGACGATTTTCTTGATGCGCGTCACGAACGTCTGGTATTATCTCGACATCGCGTCGCAGCTGCTGGGCGATTCCGACGGGCCCATCAACCTCCTGCTGAACGCCGTCGCGCTCCAGTTCATCCTCGAGCTCGACGGCCAGGTGCTCATCGACATCCCCTCGGAGAACTCGTTCTGCTGGGCGAAGGACGAGGCCCGCATCGCCGCGTACATCGGGGCGCTCAAGGACGCGCGGCTCCGGCTCCGGCGCTGCGTCAAGAACTACCACGAGACGGGGCCCCTCGGCACGTTCTGCGCGGCGGCCGTGTCGTGGATCAACGCCGTCGGCACGGCCTTTTGCATCTTCTTCATCGGGCTGAAGCTCCAGTCGTACACGAACGAGGGCCGCTTCTCGACGGTCGACGACACGTGGCCCATCGGCGAGGACGGCGCGCACCAGACGAAGCTGACGCTGTTCTACAACTGGAGCATGTACGCGATACTCGGATTGCTCCTGCTCGACATGCACGCGTGCCTCCTCGCGGCCGACGCGGACTCCGCGACGGCGGCCGCGAAGCTCGCGCACGTCGTCGGCTTCGTCGTCGAGGTCATGATCCTGGTGAGCGTCCGCGTCGCCGGCATTCAGTTCGTCGTCCAGGAGCTCTTCTTCTACGGCATCAGCGCGGATAACAAGTACGTGGCGCCGCTCCGCTTCTGGAACGACGTCGACCCCCGCCCCAACCGGCCGGAGGCGGGGGACTACTCCTACTACGGCGCCGACGGAGCCGACGCCGCGGCGGACTACTACGGCGCGTGATAAACCCGCGAGGCATGGGTCTTCAACTTGCATTGTTTACTTCAGCGAGCCTGCCACAAGACTGCCACAAGCACCAAACTTGCTCAAACTGTCGGCCTGCGCCGTCCTGCGCTACTGTCGGCCTGCTGCGCCGTCCTGTGCTACTGTCGGCCTGCTGCGCCGTCCTGTGCTACTGTCGGCCTGCGCCGTCCTGTGCTGCCACTGCGCGCGCTCCACAACTTGGCAAAACATGTCCCGCGCCTCCGTCGTCGGCGCCTGCGCCGCAGCGGCAGGCGGCGCCCTCGCCATTGGCTTGCTGAAGCGCCAATTCGCGACGGCGACGCGCAAGACCGCCGGCGAGTGGCTGCGGGACCGCGTGCGCGTCGTGCCGCACAGCGTCTTGGGCACCCAGCTCAAGACCGGCGGCGTCAAGGTCGTGGCGCCCGCGCCGGAGGCCCGCGAGGTCATCGTCGACCCCGCGGGGTTGCCCTACGTGTCCGGCCAGCGGCCGCCGGGCGCCGCGGGCGCCGCGTCCGCGAGCATCTACAAGTTCCTGGGCCTCGCCGCGGCGCCCGCGTTCCCCGACGCCGTCGTCGCGGCGATCGCGCGGGCCGGCGACGCCAAGCTCCACGCCTACGGCGAGCGGAAGTGCGTCCACGTCGTCGGCCCGGACTTTCGAGAGCTGCGCGTCGACGCGGCGGGCGCGCGAACGACGCTCGCCGGCGCCTACGCGAACGTCTTGCGGGAGGTCGCGGACGCGGGCGCGGCCGTCGCGCGGCTCCTGCCCGTCAGCGGCGGCGTCTTCAGCGGGCACTGGGCCCTGGACATGCACCACCTGACGTTCGCGGCGCTCGCGCTCGCGTACGACGGCCTCGACGCGGCGACGCGGGCGAAGCTCGACGGCGTCGACGTCCTCATGTGCATCTTCGTCGAGGCCGAGCACGCCCAGTACTCCAGGGCCCTCGCGTGGCGCGCGGCGGCCTAGTCTTTGTGTCTGTGTCCACATGCCCCGCGGCGAGTGCCCGACGACGGGCCCGTAGTCTCGCGGGTCCCCACAGACAGTCGGACGGGGAGGGTGACGCGGCCTAGAAGCACGCGAGGGTCTCGGGGAGGAGGACGGCGCCGTAGGCGCGCCAGGCCGGCGGCGCGGCGGCGGCGGCGACGAGCGGCGCGTCGGCGAAGGCCCGGAGGCGCGCGTCGCCCGCGCCCGCGCGGACGGCGGCGGCCGCGAGCGCGCGGAGCTCGCGCGAGCCGCCGCGCTCGAGCGCGGCGACGAGCGGGGCGACGGCCGCGGCGGGGAAGGGCGCGAGCGCGCCGCGGTCGAGGAGCGCGGCGGCGTAGGCCGCCACGCGCGGGCCGAGGCGCCCCGCCTTGAGGAGCGTCGCCGCGGCGAAGGCCGCGAAGGGCGGCGTTTCGGCGCCCCCGTCGAGGAGCGCGCGGAGCGCGGCCGCGGCGGCCTCCGTCGCGCCGCCGCGGCTCGACACGGCGACCTCGAGGAGGCGCAGCGCGAGGCCGCCCCAGGCGACGCCGTCGGGCGCCGCCTCGACGGCGCCGCGGACGGCCCAGGCCGCGAGCGCGCGCCGCGGCGACTCCGCCGTCGCGTCGAGGCGCGACGCCGCGAACGCCGCGACCTCGAGCGCGTCGCCGGCGCCGGCCCGGGCCGCCAGCGCCGCGAAGAGGAGCGCCGCGACGTCCAGGGCGGCGTCGCCCGCCGCGTCGGCCGCCGCGAGGACGCCGCCGAGGTTCGCGTCGCCGAGCGCCCGCGCGGCCGCCGCGGCGGCCGCCGCGGCGGCGGGGCCCGCCGCGGCGGCGCCGCCGCGGAGCCCGAGGGCCCCGCGGTCGAGAGCCCCGCGAGCGCCGCGGGCGCGGGCGCGCGCGGCGCGCGCGCCGTCAAGGCCCGGGCCATCGCCTTAGACGCCGCGGAAACCGGCGGCGCCGCGGACCCGACGCCCGTGCCGCGCGGCCGGCCCGCGGCGCGGACGCCGCCGCGCGCGCGGACGCCGCCCGCGGCGCGCGCGCCGCCGGACGCGCGGCCGACGCCGCCGAAGACGCCGCAGAAGACGCCCAAGGCCAAGTCGCCGCGGCCGTCGCCGCGGCCCGCGGCGGCCCCGCGCGGGCCGTCGCCCGTGCCCGCGGCGGCCGCGGTGCCCGCGGCGGCCGCCGCCGCGCGCTTCGCGGTCGGCGACCGCGTCGACGCGGACTTCAACGAGGAGGGCGAGTACTACCCGGGCACGGTGGCCCGCT